CAATCTTTACCAGCATCAGGGTCTTTTCCAGTGAGTCAGCTCTTTGCATCAGGTGACCAAAGTATTGGAGCTTCAGCATCAGTCCTTCCAGTGAACATTCAGGGTTGATTTCCTTTAGGATCGACTGGGTTGATCTCCTTGCTGTACAAGGGACTCTCAAGAGTCTTCTCCAGCACCACAGTGTGAAAGCATCAACTCTTCAGCACTCAACCTTGTTTATGGTCCAATTCTCACATTCACTCATGACTATGGAAATACCATAGCTTTGACTATATGGACCTTGCAAACATTAGATCTATTTTGTTCATTGTCAAGTTTAGTTTTCATAAAGATTTTATTACATACGAAGACAATTTGTGTGGTACCTTGCTTTGCAAGAACTCTTGAGTATGCATGATGATTGCTTAGAAAGTAGAGCCAATAGCAAATTAAATAAGTTACTATTCACAGCCTCATAAGTTCAAAAGCAAACCTCTAAAATTTCTTTAAAGTATATATAATACATAAAAATAAATATATATACATATGATATGGGTACATTATATATGTGGTATATATATGTATATAATGTGTATTATATATGTAATATATAAATACATATGATATGGTTTTAGAATACTTGATGCAACATATAATATAGGGTGAGGTTCTAAAACTAAGAGTAACTATAAGAAAAGAAACATCTTTAAATGCTCTGCTCTGAGGCAAAAGTCACAACTGCTATTTGTTCTTGGGGAACTCTTTACTAGAGTATACTCTCCTGAGGAAGCCCATATATTTTTCCCCCTGGAGACCTTCAGTCACTGGTCATGAAAGATGCAGACAAATAAACCCTGCCTTATTATTTCAACATAGGAAAAGGGCCATTTTGCCCCTTAGAATTAAGAAAACTCATGACTGGCAACCCATATGTATGTATATATATATATATATATATATATATATATGTCTTCCTTGGCCTCTTATCCTACAGATTTGCCGCCATACCTCTTACCTTTAGAGGTTTCTCAAGTTGGTTGGGTTCACAGGCAACTGAATCTCAATCTCTCTCTGAAATACTGCCTTTCCCCCAGGAGTCTGTGGGGCTCACCAGTCCTCCCAGGACAGCCGCCACAAATGTGCAAGTGATCAGGGCCCCTGTCTTCTATCCCTGGTTCTTGCAGGCTGCGCCCTGTGAAACTGCTGAGACTAGAAAGCCACGTCCTCCCCATCCTACCACACACACCGTTCTGCCAACCTCTTCAGAGCAAATGTGTGAGGAGGCCGTTAGCCACAGGTCATTAACAGAGCCGGAGCTGAGGTGGCGCCAGGGCAATCCCCTCACAGCAGGCATCCCTCAACCTTTTGTTTTCATGCCGCTTCAAGGAGAAAATTGATTTCAAATACACACTTTAGAGCCTCTTGTTCACCCCATCATCTCTCCAATTAAGACAAAAGGCTCAGGGAGGCTCATCTTCACTCTGAGGAAACCAGAGGCAGGCCTGGGCTGGGGGTGCCTTGGGCAGTGTTGGGCACAGAAAGGTGTGAGCAGTGCTGACTGGAGACAGATGGGTGCTGGATTTTGTTGATGAATAATTCACACCCTCAGAGAGCTGGGTTGATACTTGGCATCAAAGAAGGATTCTTTCTTAGCCTGGTCGCTGTGCAGATGGGTGGGGGCTTCCAAGCAAAGGCCAGGACAAGCCTGGGAGAAGGAAGACAGAGGCGGGGATGGAGCTGCACCCACTGACTGCTTGAGGACATGCATCCAGCAGCTCCACCACCTCCCAAGCTGGCCTCCCAGACTGGGCAGCCAGGGCTGAGTTCAACATTTCAGTCCACTAGGCCTGGTTCTTGGAGGGCTGTTGAGAGACACGAAAATGGATCTTTCCCCTCCTCTTTGAAAGCTTTGCTCCTGAATCCCCTCTGTCTCCTGGGCCCAACCAGCCCTTGGGAAGCCACTGCTAGTCATGTGACAGAATCGCAGACTCACAGAAAGACAGAACTCATCTCAAAAAACATGCATTCAGTGTTGTGATATGCCAGGCACTGTTCTGGTGCAGGGGATACAGCATCAGCAAAATGACTAAAAAACAACTTCTTAGGGAGCTGTGGACTCTCTGGAAACCAGTATGACCTACTCTCCTCTGGCGAAAGAAAAAGTAAAAGAGACTGAGCTTCAACTGTTGCCCTAATGATGTGCCAGGAGTTTTATATCTCATTTCATTACCTCCCCCAAGATGAAATTATCACCACTACTCTAGAAATGATAAAATCAAGGCCCAAGGAAGTTTGTTTGCTCAAGGTCACAGAGCTAGTGGGCAGTAAATCTTGATCATCTTCAAAACAGGTAATGTGTGTCCTTCATGAAGCCTCTCCATTTCTCTAACCCATATGATTAGTCTTCCTTAAAATAAAACCAAGTTTAGTTGCTAATGCCAATATTTAATAACTTTGTATGCTTGTGTAAGGGACTCATTTTTCTCATCTGTAAAATGGGATTGATGGCTCCCTTCTCCCTGGGCTTCAGTGATGATTATAGGAGATCAGACCTGTAAAGCCCTCTGTTCAGAGCTTGGTGCTGGGTAAGTATTCAATAAATGTAAATTCTTATTAACAGTATTTTCATATTTGATAGAAATAATCTCAGATAGGGAGAAAGTTATAATACACCAAGTAAATCACCCCTAATAAAAGAATAAAAATTAAGTCAGAGAAACTTTAATACCAAAAATGAAAGTGTACTAAGTCAGGCCTATAGAAGAACATATGGCAGTAATCATTATAAATTCATTAGGTGTTCAAACATTACAACCTTTTGACTCTGATTGTCACAGCTTTAGGACAGCCTAAGAGAAATTACAGACTGTCAGATGTGTATCTGACCACTACATCCTAAAGACAAATCTGTGCTGAATGCAATGATTCCAGTGAACACTGGCCAGAATGGCTGTCATGGGGCAGTGCCACATGTGGTGCCCATCTAGGCGACTCCACTCAGAACTCAGCGTCATGGGCTCCATGCTTATTACAGCCATACCTCATTGTACTGTGATTTGATTTATAGCCATGGGTTTCCACCCCTGTGGAAACCAGAGTGTACTGTCAGCCCTTCAGACAGACAGGAACAGAACACTATTATCAGAGAGGGGAAGAGGAATGATTTCCCCGGGAAGATGCCAGACAGACCAAAAGGCATGCCCGCTATGGCCCAGGAGTTCAGTTGGTTATGGAAAGATGCCTTGTGAGACAAGCTTTAAAAAATGCTCAAAAAGATGGGATGGGCCCTCCAAAAAGGATCACAAAAGGGCCATAGCTTTTGGAAAGAGAACCTTGAAGCAGAATGCCACCACTCCTAACCCCAGGAATGATCAAATAGTTCTAAGTCACTCCTCATCCTAAAAAAACAAGCATGACTGTGGCAGACCCATGTGATAACTACCAATGGTTTGTCTTTGAAAGCAGCCTCCATCTCTCTCCATTTGATTGCCCTCCCAGACTGGCACACAACAGTCTCCCCCCTCTCCAGTTTTCCTCAGAGTCTACCCCAGGTGGGCCTGGAAAACCCCAAAAGCCCCAGGCAAGGCACCTAAATTGCTACTGGATAAGTATCCATATCCCACTTCTCCTAAATCAGGGGTGAGCAAACTTTTCCTGAAAAGGGCCAAATGGTAAAATAGTCTAGGCTTTGTGGGCCAAGAGGCAAATTCAAGGCTATGACATGTAGAAAAACATACAATAAGATGTAACATATGACAAGAGAAAAAAATTTTCTACAAGTTCTTTTCAATCATTTAAAAGCATACTTTAAAAAAATTCTCAGTTTATGGGCCACACAGAAATAAGTGGTGGGATGGATTTGGTCTGTGCGAGGTCTAGTTTGTGGATTCCTGTCCTAAATCATTCAAGAGGGAAGGAGCCACGAGCAAGCAGAATTTATATTGAAGGGAAGAGGATGCTGTAGTTTCAAAATCACAGCCACAGAGGGAGAAGAAGGGAGAAAGAAAGAAAAATGTGGGGACAGAGACTGAGAGTCAGGGGAATTTGGAAAGGAAAGGTGACTTCATTTGGTCGTGGGCAGAGGCGATGATCAGTGAGAAAAAGAGGAAGGGAGATGATTTACAGTATTTGCCGAGCTCTTACAATGAAATGCATCAGGGACTACAATATTCAGTTGATTTTCAGTTATTGTGTACACTAGGTTTTCTCCCCCCCGCCCCCACCCTTTCTTTCTGTGCCACAAAGCTGAGTCTGGACCCACAAGTAGATGTGATTTTTATGGGTTGCTTCCCAATCCAGTGGGGTGGCTAACCTGCCCCCTTCTCTGTCCCCGCCATCAAAGCACTCTGATTCCTTCAGCCATCACATCCATCCACCTGGGACATGCTTTTTTCACTCCAGCCTCCGTCTCCTTAATCAACTCCTGTTCATCCTTTCTTCCCCAGTCTTCTGTGATCCCCACTGCCTGTTTCCTTGGCTCTTGCTGCTAAGTGCCTCCCCTGAAAGCCTGAGCCCCAGCTTTGAAATGGGCCCACTCCTGCCTGCCCCTGTTGAAAATCAGGCAACGGGCAAGAAAGCACTTTGCAAACTGTAAAGCTCATATTAGTATTTGGTCCCACAGACAGACTACTTCGGATCCTCTTCTCTGTGCCTTCTGCTCCAGGCAATACTTTCATGGGCCCCTTGAGTCAGCACTCCAAACACACAGAAAAAATGTTATTGGGAGGGGAATGAAATATGCTTGTGATTTAAGGATCAGCTTCGCGCCAAACAGTTTAGTCAGATTTGGGGTGGGAGCAGGCGTTCTGAGTTCTCTATTAAAGCCTCCTGGGGTTCCAGGTGATTATTTTACATATCAGGAAATTCTGGGCGCGCCACCCCCAATTAAAGCAGATGTCTCCTCTCTGTGGCAGCTTCCAGTATGCTACCTTCTCGAGCTCAGCTCAGAGCTCCATCTGAACCTGTCTCCTATAATTTTTAACTAAAACAGCCCCCTCCGTCGACTGTAATTAAACATATACTCAGCCACCGCTAGTTTGGCATCTGCACCTGCCGCTGGGATCCCCTTTCTCCAGGCACCTGCGCTCGGCCGCGCCCTGCCGCCTGGCCCTCGCCCTTGCGCACGCGTAGTCGCACAACCCCTGCCCGCGCCGCCTCGTCCACCTCCCGTTGGCGCCGGAGGAACAGATGGAGCGATCATCCTCTTCATTCCGCCAGAAGGGCCCCGCTGCTCTGGGGGGAGTTCTGCGGTTGTAAGACACATAATTAGACACATCAATGCGGCGGATTAGAGGGGGTGGGCTCGCGTCACGGAGGACAGGCGTCCTCATTGATGTGCCGCACGCCGATCCCCGATCCTCAGCGCTCACACCCGCGCCCAACCCGGAGGGAGCAAAGGCCACGCGAGCGCATCCAGGGTAGCTGGCCGCCCGCCGGCTGCATCGCTTTGAACTCCCGGCCCTCTTCAGCGACATCTGAATTTTCTTTATCTTTTAAAACGCCGTGCCAGAATGAGTTATGCGCAAAAGATGACCGGCTCGTTGATGGCTCACCTGTCAAGTTCCCAAGCTCCGCGGGGCAGTGGGTCCTGCAGCTCACAAGGTAGACAGACAGTGACGATCTCCACCGACAGCGCGAGTCCCCCGGGGGTGTGAAAGAGTCAAGAAAATCCCTCTGGAGTGGACACATGCTGAGACTCTCCTCCCACAAGGAGCCAGGTGATCTTCAGTGACTCAGGCCACCTCACCAGGCTCCATAGGGACAGCATCTAAGGTTGTAAAGAGCCGGGGATGCAGAGATCCAATTTGGAATCCAAGGCTGTCCCTTGCTGCCTGGGGGACATTAGGCAATTCACTCAGTCTGGAGCCCTGGTCTCCTCTTCTGTATAGTAAGGGAGGTAGTCTCTACCCTACAGGCACTGTAGGGTACAGTATATTTGAGCTGAGCTCTTTTGTGAAATCAGAGGCTCACTCAGAAAACCTGTGTGTCATTTGGGTCCTGTGGGAAGAAGGAGCCAAGAGATAATTAAAAGTACATCCTCCATGAAGGATAAAGAGGAGAGCAAACAGGAGTAGGAGCAGAGGACCTCGAGCAGAAAGGGGACTGACACATGTGAAAGAAAGGAGAGGAAGATTTGGTGGAGGGTCCCAGAGGGTCCGCAGCCTGAGAAGGTCTCAGAGCTATGAAGCCGAGTCCAGAGCAAAAACTGCCTGTGAGTGGAGTCCCACATTGGGCAGCAGTGGCCCAGTGCTAGCATCTGGGAACAACCTGGGACAACTGTGGCACATTTGTGAACAGTGCTTGATCGGGAAGTGAAGGTGTGGCAGCCTGAAGCTGTCAGCTCACCATACTCCCCTGAAGGGTCTCCTTGGAGGGAGAGAACTGTCAACTCAGCTGACATCACCCCCCCACCCCCCATCCCCACTCAGCTATCCTGCTCCAGGGCTGGCCACTTGGCTAGGACAAAGTCAGCTAGCACACTTCATTGGCCAACCATGAATGATTCAGTTTCCCTAAACGGATCCAATCAGAGTAATCCGGTGACATTGGCTGAGGATTCAGTTCAGTTCAGTCGCTCAGTCGTGTCCGACTCTTTGCGACTCCATGAACCATAGCATGCCAGGCCTCCCTATCCATCACCAACTCCTGGAGTTTACTCAAACTCACGTCCATTGAGTCACTGATGCCATCCAACAATCTCATCCTCTGTCGTCCCCTTCTCTTCCTGACCTCGCTCAATCTTTCCCAGCATCAGGGTCTTTTCCAATGAGTCAGCTCTTTGCATCAGGTGGCCAAAATATTGGAGTTTCAGTTTCAGCATCAGTCCTTCCAATGAACACCCAGGGCTGATCTCCTTTAGGATGGACTGGTTGGATCTCCTTGCAGTCCAAGGGACTCTCAAGAGTCTTCTCCAACACCCCAGTTCAAAAGCATCAATTCTTTGGCGCTCAGCTTTCCTTATAGTCCAACTCTCACATCCATACATGACCACTCAGGAAACCATAGCCTTGACTAGACGGACCTTTGTTGGCAAAGTGATGTCTCTGCTTTTCAATATGCTGTCTAGGTTGGTCATAACTTCCCTTCCAAGGGGTAAGCATCTTTTAATTTATTGGCTGCAATCACCATCTGCAGTGATTTTGGAGCCCCCCAAAATAACAGCCACTGTTCCCAGTTTCCCCATCTATTTGTCATGAAGTGACAGGACCAGATGCCATGATCTTAGTTTTCTGAATGTTGAGCTTTAAGCCAACTTTTTCATTCTTCTCTTTCACTTTCATCACAAGGCTCTTTAGTTCTTTCTTCACTTTCTGCCATAAGGGTGCTGTCATCTGCATATCTGAGGTTATTGATATTTCTCCCGGCAATCTTGATTCCAGCTTGTGCTTCAACCAGCCCAGCATTTCTCATGATGTACTCTGCATATAAGTTAAATAATCAGGGTGACAATATACAGCCTTGACGTACTCCTTTTCCTATTTGGAACCAGTCTGTTGCTCCATGTCCAGTTCTTCTCTACCCCACCAGTTTTCTTGCTTCTTTCTCATCTTAATTTTATACAAGTCTGAATACAGAGCTCAAGAACCCACTGTTCCTGAGTACAGCCTGGTAGAAACCCCTCTTCCCTGCTCCAATTCCTTTGGCTTTACTTGTTTTCCAGGCTCTTCCAGCAGGGCTGGCCCTGATTCAGTGGGAGTTCAGAGGAGCAAAATTATTTCCAGCCAGAAAGAATGAAGGGTGACCTCCTGGAAGAGGTGGCATTTGCATGGGGCCTTGAAGGATGGGTGAAATGCAAATCTGGGCAAAGTCACAGGGAAAAGAGAAAGCAGTATGCAAGCAAACAGGTGGAGGTGGGAAAACACAGTATGTACAGAAACATAAAGACAGTAAACTGTACAGTTGGTAAGGCTCCATGGGAGCCCCTGGGTTGCAACATGGCTCTTCTTTTCCAGGCATCTCTAGGCTGGTGGTCAAACTGTTGGAGCTTCAGGCCAGATGGACTATAGGCAGGGCTCTCAAGTTGCTTGGCTGTTCCTGCTGCTGCTGCTTCTGAATGTTCACTCTAGCAAGAGCAGCTGGGTAAGGTTGCGCTGGAAGAACTTAAGAGGCAACATCCTATCACTTTGAATACTTAAAATACCAGAGGTAGAGCCTTGAGTGTGTGATCCTAGCTAGGACTGAGGCTCGCATGGCCAAACTACTGCTTCCAGTATGTTTTGAGGGGAAAGGAAAGCGGATACACGTAGCCAGATTCTTCCAGGAGGTACATCCTTTCTGTTTGTTTTTTTTTCCAAGTGCTCAGGCATCCGCTTTCACATTCATCCTTTGCCTCCAGCTTATCTTTTCATGACTTTGGAAAGAAGTCTTCCTTATCTAGGAAACAAATGGCCTTCACAGAGAGCTCAAAACACCCAAGTCATTTATCTGTTTGACATGTGTTTCCCTGTTTGTTTTCTCCAGCCTTGAGACAAGAGTTGTGTCAACTGTGGATGTCTGTGCCCCAGTCACTGGAGAGGCATGAATCAATTTCCAGCTGCATTTATCACTTGCTGCCTTAAATCAAGTCTAATCAATGCTTCCTTCATTTGGTATGGATTGAAACTATATATAACACACTCAGAAAATGGGCGGGAAAGGCAGCAGCCGATCACCAACAAAAACTGTCAGGGATTTAGATGGAATGATGTTAAGGAAACATTTGCAATCTTTGATTTGCTTTCATGGAGACGCCTGACCAGTCACAGAGATTTGTGTTTATGAAGCTTTAACTTCAATCTACCTGACAGGCAATGACATTACATGACAGATCATTTTATACCAGAGGATGTCTGCATCTTCAAAGATTTTATAATTAATACATTCTGAAGAGTTGGAATATTTCTGATAGCGTGACAACTCTAAAGCTGCCAAGAGTTTCCTTTCTATTGTTGTCTTTCATTCATTTCCATTTCTTTTAAAGGTATCTCATTTGTCACCATTGACTATATGGGTTAATCTCTAGTCACAAGATAGAAAATAAAAACCCCCTTATGACAAAAGAGATATCTAGGAGCCCCCTCTAATTTAGAATTTTATAAAGTCTTACGGCTGAGAAAATTTGACCCTTTCTCTCCTATGCCCAATTCTTGGTAACAGAATTTGATCCACGCATCCAAAATGGATTTTTCACTAGCAGGTGTGAAAACCACCTCCCAGCTGTTCAACCAATTTAGAATGTGGTAGGGAGCAGCCCTGTCTCATTTGTAAATTAATCCCATGCCAGTGAAAGATGATATCAGCATAGTCCCTGGCACCTTAAACCGATCATGCCCACAGCAAGTCCCCACATTGTTCTTCAAGGATAATGGGAGAAGAGACAGAACATAGAAAAATAGGTCAATAATTCCAACCAGATGAGGCAGTGCTGTGATTCACTGATACAATTAATATTTCTATCTAATCTGCTGAACTGTACAGACTTTTACCATGAGCACACCTCAGAAGTGATTAAGAGGGCTCTCATTTTCCAAGTGCTGGCTCCCCCAGTGGCTTGTTGTCAGGTAGCTGAAAAGAGCCCTGTGCAGCTCTGGGAAGTGTGACAATAATAATAAACCCTTGTGCTGGTTTAATAGTTTCTAGTTTATAAAGTGTTTTGAATATACAGTCTCCTCAACCTGTAAGGTGAGCAAGAAAAGTATTCCTATTTCCAAGAGGCTTCCCTGGTGGCTCAGGGGGTAAAGCGTCTACCTGCGATGCGGGAGACCCGGGTTCGATGCCCTGGGTCGGGAAGATCCCCTGGTGGAGGAAATGGCAACCCACTCCAATACTCTTGCCTGGAAAATCCCATGGATGGAGAAGCCTGGTGCAGGCTACAGTCCATGGGTCGCAAAGAAACAGACACAACTGAGCGACTTCACTTTCACTTTCCAAGAGGAAGAGAGAGGTTTCGAGGTTGGCGTACCCATGTTGGGCTGCTCACACTGAACTGTGTCTCTAGGACTCAATGCCTCATCTCCTCAGCCCTGTCACTGTGGTTCTTGACACTAAGCTGCAGCTAGTCACTGCTAAATCCTTCCCTTTGTGCTTTCCCTAACTTTTTTTCACCATCACCCAGGATTCTTGGGAATGCACATGGTTGTAAGAGATCCCTAGAGTTGCCTACCAATTATCTAGTTAAAAAAAGATACATTAAAAGCAGCACCTTTGGCTGTGTTTTGTGTTATAGATACAGTATAGTGCTCTTAACTCATCTTAAAGGCAGGGTAATATAATAAAGTTTCAATAGTGCTCTTAACTCATCTTAAAGGCAGGGTAATATAATAAAGTTTCAACCCTCAGCAAACAGAGACAGGGTAAAAGAAACGCTGCAGACATGGAATCTAAAATTAAAGTGCTCACTCTCTTTGTCTTTCCAATGCATGAGACTTGTACGGTGAGTTTCTTTGCTTTGAGGATGTCCAGGAAGGATTACATTTGCCCATCCTCTGAGTAAGGA